TTCTGATGATGCAGTCTCAGATTTGAGGCGGCTGAGGAAGGATCCTCAGGTGAAGGAGGGAAGGAACTGCCTTTACAGCCTGTGAAAGCATCTGATAGGTCTCTAGAGCAGGACATACTTCTTGTTTTATCTTTTAAATTCAAAATAAAATCACTTTTGTGTGGGTATACTCATACTAGTTTCAGAAAAAAATAGCCCATTTTCCAGTGTGCAAACACTTTATTCCAAGAATACCTTACCCAAGGCAGAAATTCAAAAATTAAATGCCTAGAGGAAAACTAGAGTATTCTCCATCATTCCTGTTGAGGAAACATTATTAATATCCACATTACCTTTTATTTTTTGTTGTGTGTGTGTGTGTGTATGTGTGTGTTTTCAGATGGAGTTTCACTCTTATTGCCCAGGCTGGAGTGCAATGGGACAATCTTGGCACACCAAAACCTCTGCCTCTCGGGTTCAAGCAGTTCTCCTGCCTCAGCTGCCCGAGTATCTGGGATTACAGGAAGCTGCCACGATGCCTGGCTAATTTTTTGTATTTTTAGTAGAGACGGGGGTTTCACCATATTGGCCAGGCTGGTCTCGAACCCCTGACCTCAAGTGATCCAGCCACCTCCACTTCCCAAAGTGTTGGGATTACAGGCTTGAGCCACCGTGCCTGGCTCATATTACCTTTTAAGCCATAATATTTTACAGAGAACTTGATTATGTCCATTGACAATAAAAACAAATTAATTTTAAATGTTTTATTACACATTTCCTTTGAAATTTTCAATACAATAATGCATTTTTAATCTGCATAAAATGTTACAATGGTAGTATCTATGCACACAATAATATACACAAACATGTAGGAGGTGTGTGTTCACATTTTTGGAAACGGACAGAACAAAGGGGAAGAAGCCTGCACCTCAATAGTCAGGGCAGAGACAGGCCCCTCTAGGGCTGAATTTGAGGTCAGCACCAACTGTGTGCAAAGCTGATCCGGGCCTTCTGCAGAAAAGAGGCTAAACTCATGTACCCACCTGGCCTCACTTTCCTCCTGTCCTCTGTGAAAGGGACAGAGGAATAATGGTCCCTTACCTGCCACGTAGCAGCTGTGGCCCTTGGGCAAGTAAGTCCCTTTCCTGCTCTGAGCTTCCCACTTTCCCAAGGTTCTGAGCCACAGAGAGAGGCTAGACCTGAGGGGGACATGGAGACACCACACCTTCCCATGAAAAGCAGTGGGCATCCGTCACCACCGCCCACAGCATGCAGTTAGCCCATTTTCCAAACTGCCATGATCTATTTCACAGCCCAGTGTAGTGGGGGAAGAACAGGACTGTGCTGGGGCTCCTGGCTGGATGCCCGCTCTGCCTTTTGCTGCCAGCAATGCCTTGGCCAGGACACAGCCCCTGTGTCCCCAAGCTTTCTCCTCTCCCATATGGGAACGATGATCTCATAGGGTTATGAGGATGATTAGATGGGACAACAGCAAGGGTATAGAATTGTGCCCCGCGTAAGCAGTCAGCGGTGTAATAGGTCAGGAGAGGGTGACCTTCAGGGCTCAGCAGTGATCGGGAGAGGTGATCACAATTAGCGACTGGAGAGAGCCTCTAGGTCTTGGGAAACACTGGGTTTCGGCACAGGTGGTGGTTTCACAGGTATTCACTTTGAGACAACATACACACCACATGCTTAGATACCCGGACTAGATGCTGGTGCATTATTCCTTTCAGAAAGCGTTTTAGTTTTAGTTTTGTTTTAGCGCAAGACATGAGAATTAGAAAACGATCCTGGGAAAGGTTCAGGCCTCTGTAGGCTGAGATGGGGCCTAGGACTATGTCTCTGAGGAGGAAAGAGGAACCCAGTGAATTTTGAAGAGCACAGGGGAGCAGAGGTCCCCTCTGTGTGTGCATGCGTGCATGTGTGTGTGTGTGTGTGAGCACACACACTGCGGGGCTGGAGGAGGAAATCAGCAAGGCCCAGAGAAGGGCAGAAGGATCTTCAGGCCCGAAGGGCTGCTGCTGCACGTGGCTGGATGGCAGCACAGCGGCCTGAGGTTCCTGGGTCATTTTTGTCCCCTCTTCATGCTCATGGACTCTTGATGACTGTCCACAGCTCTGAGATGTGGGCCCTGCAAGCTGGAACCAAGCATGCTCTCTGCCCGTTTCTGAGGCAGTCGTTGGGACTGTGAGGCCGTGGACCCCTGCCAGGCTCGCCTGTCCCCGGGACACTCAGGATGCACTGTGGCCTCCTGTCTCCTGCAGGCACCTGCACAACCCTCCTTTTGAAGGTAATTTCAGGAGTTGTTACAGCAACACCTGTGCACTGAGGCGGATGACAGGGCCACCACAGACGTGACACTGTGTGCAGGGAGGGGAGAGGGGAGTCGCCTCTAGCTTTGCTTCCTGCGCCCCCAGGGAGTTGCCCCTCATAGAGGCTCCACCCTCCCCCCAACAACATGTTCCCTATCATCCTCCAATAGCCACTGCCACCGTGCCCAGGGCCATCCTCACCGCTGAGTCCTACACACACCAGGGACCATCGGTCACCCCATCACTTTGAGTTTCCTTCTGTCTGGGCCACATCCAGATTCTGGGATGTTTTCCACACTCAACTTCACTTTGTCTTTGACGTGCTATGGCCTAAATGTCAGTGTCTCCCAAATTTATATGTTGAAGCCTAATTCCCAATGGGGTAGAAAGAACAGGTGGGGCCTTTGGGAATGCCCTGAAACCAGACGGACATTCTCAATAATCCCCTCCTGAAGGAAGTTAGTGCTCTCATCAAACAGGCTCCAGCGACCTCCCTTGTCCCCTTTGGTCACATGAGGACACAGTTGGAGGCACTGCCCTAAGGAATGGGTCCTCACCAGGCACTGAATCTTCAGGCATCTCGATCTTGGATTTCTCAGCCTTCAGAACTTTGACAATACATTTCGGGCGTTAGTAACTCCCCGGGCTAATGTACTTTGTTAGAGGAGCCCACCGGACAAGGACGGGCCCTCCCTTCTCACCTGACGTCACTTCCAGGATCCGGCCTCAAATATTCACCCGGTTGGAGAGGTAATGCTGGTGCGTGAAGGGCCAGAGAGAGAGCCCCTGTAAACTGCTCACAGGCGGGCAATCAATGGGTCCCCTCAGAATGAGGGAGGACAGGCAAGCCACGGCCCCAGAATCTATGCAATGGTGCGATGACACACAGGCGACTCCAGCGCAGACCGCTCACAGAAAAGGATCAAAGGAGGGGAGGCAGCTGGAGGAGGGTAAGGCCTCACTGCCCAGAACAGGCGGTGGCAGAGGACGCGAACGGAAAAGAAGGCCAACAAGAAGAATGTGAGCCAGAAGGATGCCATCTTCGCCACAGGCCCCAGGAGTGGCCTCGTTGGCTGTGTGCCAGAGCCGCAGACACCAGAAATCAGGAGCTGTTGTATGTATGGTCCAGAGGGATCATTGACACTCTGTGAAGAACGAGTGCAGTCAGTTGACCACATCGGCTCTGCCGATCACAGTAACAGGGGCCCTCTCGTCGCAGAGTGAAGGCAAAGGAAGAGAACGTAGTTCACCACCCAAGAATGTATGTTCACCAACCGAACGGCTGAACCACACAAGATTGTGACTGCCAGGCCCACCTTTTCTCAGGCAGAGGGAACGGCTGAAGCCGCATTCGGGCAGGGTTCCAGCGCGGGCTCCAGGTTTGGGGCTGGTGACGAAGAATAGGAAGGGTCGACACCAGGGCGTCGAAGAGGCCCAGAAAGCTAGGAAGTCCGCCTCCATCAGGCCCCCTACTGTACGCCCCAGGACACCCCGCTCCACACTATCCCAGTGCCTCGCGGCCCACAGGCGGAGAAGAGTCTTCTGGCCCAGGACCCGAGCGTGGTGCGGTCGTGCAGAGACTCAGGAGGACACAGATCCGCTGGGGGAGTTCACCACAAGCTGTTGTCTTCAAGGGTAAAAATGCCAACCAGGGAGAGGCATTGATTTCAGGCCTCCTTCCTGCACTTGGAGGAGGAGGGAAAAAAAGAAGGCCGATGGGCCAAAGCAGGGCGAGTCAGGCTGACACCGCAGGAGGCCCGAGCCTGCAGGCACAGCCCACGCTCCCCCGGGCTGGGCGTAACCCGGGGGATGCGACCAGGTTCCCGTCCGTGCCACCACGCTCCGCATTACTCCCCCAGCTGGCCTTTGTGGGGAGTACGGCTTTCCACTCACTGATCCCGAAATTGCTGCTCCAGAACAGCATACGGCCATATAGGAGCTTGGTGACTCTCCTAGAAGCAACGGTCGTGATACACTCGGGAAGCGTTGAAATTGACCCCCACGGTGAGCGCGGCTCTCTAAGTGGCCGCCCTGCTGTCGGCCGTCACTACTGTCTGTGTCTCATTCTATCAGCCTATGCCGGGCGTGGCCGGTCGGGGCCAGTGCCTGGGTTTAAGGGATCCCAGGACTTTGTGCTCAGACGTGTGCAGCTCCACTCACCCTTCCTGAGCGCCTGCCTGGCTTGCCCACGACCCCCACCTTAGCACTGGGTGAGCAGAGGCGCCCACACATCACACATCTACCTCTGTCCTCTGGGACAACTGTTCCAGTGACCAATCGACTCAGAAACCACCCGTCCTTCATACATTTCCAAAGCAAAGGAGTGAAGAAACGGTGGCATGTCCCAGAAGCCTTTTTGCTTCTGGAGGAAAACACAAAACTGTTGGGACCAATACGACACAGATAAACCAAATGTCTGCCCACTCCCTGACCAATCCTGTTCACTTCGTGCAGCCGTGGCAGAGGGACGGCGACCAGGCCGCACGAGGCTTCGTGTGAAAACCATATCTCTCCAGTCACCCTGAAAGATGGGCGTAAGACCCATGGAGGACTTCCGTATTTCACCAATGTGGAGGACGTTTTGGCCGGGGTGGCGCGAGGCCCCCCCTGCACTTTCAGCCATGGGTAAGAGAAGGAAACCAGGACCACTGCTCGGGGATCCGGAGGGCCCAGCGGCCCGCAGGATCCTGGGACACTACGGGAGACGGCAGCCCCTGCATTGCCACCCACGGTGCAGCAGTCCCCCTGCTCTTCCCTTCTGTCCATCAGGACCCATGGAACTGGGCACCCGGCTCTGGGGTATGGAGAGCACACAGGAGGCCTGGCTCCTCCTCACCCCTGACTCCACAGAAATGAGTCTCAACTCAAGGTCCACTTAAAGGTCTTGGCTTTCTTTCCTGTTCCAACTCCAGAGAGGGTGCAGATGTCCACAGTGAGGGGATGGTTACTTGACCACCAGGTGTGGAGCGGCCCTGGCCAGCTGCTGGGAACCCCGCAGACCGAGGCTGTGGCTGGTGCAGGGGAAAGTGAGATCCTCTCCTCCTCTCTCCTGCCAAGAGTGGGCCAAGGAAAGAAAGGCCAGGGAAAGGTCCACTCACAAAACCGAGTGGGAAGGAGGGGTGACAGTCACAGCTTTCTACACGGAATCCTGCATGCCACAAGAAGTGTCCCCACTCCTCTTCAGGGCACCTACTTCCATGCTGGGAACACAGTATTAGACCTCGGCACGAGCCACATGTCCCTGCCCACCCCTCGCCCAGAAGGGATCAGGAACAGGAAGGAGTTTCCAGTGCCACAGACAAGCCCTGGGTGAGCACAGGATTCGGGGTCCTGCTGTGGCGGGTCCGGGGCTGACCAGAGCAGGTCCTAGAAGCAGGCGAGGTGCTGTGCAGTCTGCAGCGTAACTCTGAACTTGACAATGAGGTCTCCCCGCTGAGTGCATACCTTGAGGAAGGGAAGCACCTTTCCATGGAGTCTACCAGGTTGCCTGCCAGTGGCATTCGTGCCCAGCTAGAGGACCAGCCACCACCCCTGCTGGCCGCAAATGTCCTTTCAGGCAAACACGGCACCTTGAGAAAATGAGGCAGGGAGTGAGGGAAGGGTTTGGGTAGGAAAGTCACCGGCTGGTACTGACAAGGACGCTGAGGGTACAGTGGTTCCATCTGAGCAGAAGTGTGTGCCAGGGCTTCTCTTGCAGCACGAAGACAATGCTGCAGGGATGGCTTCTGGCTTGGAGACTCCCTTTTGGGAAAGTGACCTGTGGCTCCACGTAGCTGTTCTGTGTGCGACGGTGCTGAATCTCGTCCTTGTCCTTGGTGGGACCCCTTGTGCTCAGGGTGGAGGAGCACTCTGTGACCTCCCCGGACCAGGCAGCGCCACAGGAGATCCCCTTCAGGCACTCCTGCACACAGATCTGCCCCACCATCTGCAGGAAGCGTGTGGTGCTCCCGGCTCTCCTTAGACACTCTCAGCCGCTGAAGTCAACTCACCAAGCATCCAGGGGAGGCTTCTCCCTGTGCCTCTGGGTCATGTGGTCAAGGCCAATGCAGGGCAGAGGAGTGACTGCTGGAAAAGAAGAGCCCAGATGAAGTGCAGTCACCTACCTGAAGTCGGGCTCCCCTGGAAGTCCCCAGGAAGTAAGTCTAGGAAGAAACCACTAGAGCCACTGAGGGCCACTAGATACCCAGTGGGGAGGGAAATTTCGGGCAGCGCGGCTCGTCTTCATGGACATATTGCTACAGTGCTGGGATTTCATCACGCCTGCTATCTTCATTAATTTCTATTCCCACGAGAAAGTAAGATAGTAATGCAACATTTTATTTTATCATTATTTTTTAAGATGGAGTCTCTCTGTCGCTCAGGCTGGATTGCAGTGGCAAGATCTCGGCTCACGGCAACCTCTGCCTCCCAGGTTCAAAGAATGCTCCTGCCGCAGCCTCCTCAGTAGCTGGGATTACAGGCATCCGCCACCATACCTGGCTACTTTCTGTGTTTTCAGTAGAGACGGGGTTTCACCGTGTTGGCCAGGTTGGTCTTGAACCCCTGACCTCAGGTGATCTGCCCACTTTGGCCTCCAAAAGTGCTGGATTACAGGCATGAGCCACCCCGCCTGGCCTTAATGCAACATTTTAAAAAATCAAAATTCATGCTAAATAGTCCATTGTGAACAAAATATCCACATTTTAAATCAAGTCATCATCAGATCCTTTAACTGCAACACTCTGAGAGCTACACAAGCGTTGGGCACGGTGGGAAACGAAATCTTGGCAAATTCCATTCAACCCATAAAATTGTCACCAAAGAAAAGGAAAAGTACTCACTTGCAGAATGTTCCAGACAGCGCCCAGGCGCACTGCACTGCCAGAGATGGGGGATCTGCTCCCCGAGGACTGGGACTTTTCCAATGAAGGTCATTTTCCAGTTTCATCTAAAAGCACAGAAGGACTTCGTGAAATGTTTGGCTTTTTCCTAAGGGAAGGAGGTGCCTACAGCGTTGCCATCACTGCTGCTGGCCACAGGAAGATGCGTACATATCGTCCCGCCGTAAGATCGTGTTTTGAAAAGGGGGGACTTTGGAAATTAACTGAGGATGTAACTGCAGAAAAGAGCTGATGGGATCGGGGAACTGCTCCGATGAGTCTCCAGAGCGGCTGGGTGACCGCAGGAGCTCTGAGTCATCAAAGATCGGGCCCAGGGAGCCTGGAAGAGGAAGGGCTCGCTTCTCCCGGGCCACCCCGGGGCACATGAGTTAAGGGCAAAATTTCATGCCGCAACAAAGTGACTCATTTTTTTTGGAACTGAGGCTGTTTCAGAACTTTTTACTCACTCTTGGCTCCGCCCCAGCGCTTCCAGGCCCCGGACCCACGGCAAACACCGCTGGGCTTGGACCCAAACAGCGGTGGGGTCCCGCCAGGTCTGGTCCTTTCCGGTTAGAGGCGGCGGTTGGGCTCAGCGCCAGGCGCGCGCCCTCTGGTGGCCGTTGGGAAGCAGCGAGGGAATCGCTGAGCTCACGGCTGAGCGGTGGTCGCTCGCAGCCGAGCGGTGGTCGCTCGTCCCCTTGCGGGCTCTCGCGGAATGTCTGACATTCTCCGTCGCTTGTTCTCTGCTCCCGGCTGGGGGCACTCTGCTCCAACCTTGCCTGCTCCCTTTCCTGCGACACGCCTTAGCACCATGACTTAAAAGTAAGGACATCTTCATGCCTTGGAGAAACCTGAAGAGTAGATGTCTGAATAGTATCCCCTCTCAGTCAGGCCTGAATGCGAAGACCTGCTCCTAGTTCTCTTGGGAAACAGGACATAACCTCAAAATCCAGAAGACCCAAGACTCCTGTTCCCACCACCACATTCTCCAGACTTCAACCAGCTGGACACGGAGGGCCACGGTGGTGTGTGAGATAAGATCTCCTGGAGAAACCACCCTCCAGCCTTGATCACAATCAGGAAGATGAAAGCAGAAAATTTACTTTGTCCCTGTTTGGGAATCGCTGTCTAAAGGTTCTTCTAAAAATTTGCCCCCATCTGAAGCCAAAGAAATACAGTCTTTGCCTGGGAGGTTTTAGCAGTGAAATTGAAGTGCTCTTTTTCCACCAGGGGTGGTGTGTCATGCCGGTAATCCTAGCATTTTGGAGGCTGGAGGTGAGAGAGGTGAGAGGCTGAGGGGGAAGGATCCCTTGAGGCCAAAGTTTGAGACCAGCCTGGGTAACATAACAAGACCCTATCTTTTAAAAAAAATTACTTTACATGAAAATATGTTTTTATTTCCCTTCATTTGACATTTCCCACAGGAAAACTGTAGAGGAAGTTATACTTGTGGCTCTTTCTAATCAATTATATAGATTGTTTGCCCAGCTCAAAAAGAAATCTCAATTATTTTGCCCCAGGTGGCAAATATTAGTACCAAAATCATGGAATTATTTTGACAATATCTTGTACATTATGAGTTACAAAAATGTTTAGAGAAGAGAAAATTTGTATTCCTTGAATAAATATTGTAACATTCTTTGATCTATTACAATGATATAAAATAGCATTTGTTGTTCTTTTGTTTGAATTTATCTTGTGACACTTTCTTCAGAATAGTATTTTCTTAAAACTGGTAGGTATTATAAAGATAAACAGTGATCAGTAGCTTGATTGTATTACAAAATTTCATATAAGAGGTTGGGGCAGGTACTCCTTATCACGTGACTCACCTGTTTGACTTCCAATCAGTGATTTAGAACATAGGTTACCTGGTGTTTTGAGGCTTTGGTTAACGTATAACTGATTTTGTAATTGTGGTGCTTAGGTCTATTCCAACCCATGTAAATGGAGCATCCCCAGCCAAGGAGCAGAGAGCAAAGGACGGAGAATGTCAGAGATTCCGCAGGAGGCCGCGAGGGGACGAGCGACAACCCCTCGGCCGCTAGCTCAGCGCTTCCCTCGCTGCTTCCCAACGGCCACCAGAGGGCGCGCGCCTGGCGCTGAGCCCAACCGCCACTTCCAACAGCGCATGACCAGACCCGGCGGGACAGGACCCCGCTTTGGGTCCAAGTCCAGCGGTGTTTGCGGCGGGCCCGGGGCCTGGAAGCACTGGGGCGGAGCCAAGAGTGAGTAAAAAGTTCTGAAACAGCCTCAGTTCCAAAAAAATGAGTCACTTTGTTGCGGCATGAAATTTTGCCCCTAACTCATGCGCCCCGGGGTGACCCGGGAGCAGCGGGCCCTTCCTCTTCCAGGCTCCCTGGGCCCGATCTTTGATGACTCAGAGCTCCTGCGGTCACCCAGCCGCTCTGGAGACTCATCGGAGCAGCTCCCTGATCCCATCAGCTCTTTTCTGCAGTTACATCCTCAGTTAATTTCCAAAGTCCCCCCTTTTCAAAACACGATCTTACGGCGGGACGATATGTACACATCTTCCTGTGGCCAGCAGCAGTGATGGCAACGCTGTAGGCACCTCCTTCCCTTAGGAAAAAGCCAAACATTTCACGAAGTCCTTCTGTGCTTTTAGATGAAACTGGAAAATGACCTTCATTGGAAAAGTCCCAGTCCTCGGGGAGCAGATCCCCCATCTCTGGCAGTGCAGTGCGCCTGGGCGCTGTCTGGAACATTCCGCAAGTGAGTACTTTTCCTTTTCTTTGGTGACAATTTTATGGGTTGAATGGAATTTGCCAAGATTTCGTTTCCCACCGTGCCCAACGCTTGTATAGCTCTCAAAGTGTTGCAGTTAAAGGATCTGATGATGACTTGATTTAAAATGTGGATATTTTGTTCACAATGGACTATTTAGCATGAATTTTGATTTTTTAAAATGTTGCATTAAGGCCAGGCAGGGTGGCTCATGCCTGTAATCCAGCACTTTTGGAGGCCAAAGTGGGCAGATCACCTGAGGTCAGGGGTTCAAGACCAACCTGGCCAACACGGTGAAACCCCGTCTCTACTGAAAACACAGAAAGTAGCCAGGTATGGTGGCGGATGCCTGTAATCCCAGCTACTGAGGAGGCTGCGGCAGGAGCATTCTTTGAACCTGGGAGGCAGAGGTTGCCGTGAGCCGAGATCTTGCCACTGCAATCCAGCCTGAGCGACAGAGAGACTCCATCTTAAAAAATAATGATAAAATAAAATGTTGCATTACTATCTTACTTTCTCGTGGGAATAGAAATTAATGAAGATAGCAGGCGTGATGAAATCCCAGCACTGTAGCAATATGTCCATGAAGACGAGCCGCGCTGCCCGAAATTTCCCTCCCCACTGGGTATCTAGTGGCCCTCAGTGGCTCTAGTGGTTTCTTCCTAGACTTACTTCCTGGGGACTTCCAGGGGAGCCCGACTTCAGGTAGGTGACTGCACTTCATCTGGGCTCTTCTTTTCCAGCAGTCACTCCTCTGCCCTGCATTGGCCTTGACCACATGACCCAGAGGCACAGGGAGAAGCCTCCCCTGGATGCTTGGTGAGTTGACTTCAGCGGCTGAGAGTGTCTAAGGAGAGCCGGGAGCACCACACGCTTCCTGCAGATGGTGGGGCAGATCTGTGTGCAGGAGTGCCTGAAGGGGATCTCCTGTGGCGCTGCCTGGTCCAGGGAGGTCACAGAGTGCTCCTCCACCCTGAGCACAAGGGGTCCCACCAAGGACAAGGACGAGATTCAGCACCGTCGCACACAGAACAGCTACGTGGAGCCACAGGTCACTTTCCCAAAAGGGAGTCTCCAAGCCAGAAGCCATCCCTGCAGCATTGTCTTCGTGCTCCAAGAGAAGCCCTGGCACACACTTCTGCTCAGATGGAACCACTGTACCCTCAGCGTCCTTGTCAGTACCAGCCGGTGACTTTCCTACCCAAACCCTTCCCTCACTCCCTGCCTCATTTTCTCAAGGTGCCGTGTTTGCCTGAAAGGACATTTGCGGCCAGCAGGGGTGGTGGCTGGTCCTCTAGCTGGGCACGAATGCCACTGGCAGGCAACCTGGCAGACTCCATGGAAAGGTGCTTCCCTTCCTCAAGGTATGCACTCAGCGGGGAGACCTCATTGTCAAGTTCAGAGTTACGCTGCAGACTGCACAGCACCTCGCCTGCTTCTAGGACCTGCTCTGGTCAGCCCCGGACCCGCCACAGCAGGACCCCGAATCCTGTGCTCACCCAGGGCTTGGTTTGCCGTGGCAACTGACGCGAAATCTTCTCTTCCCCTGGACCTTTCTGCCGCCGAGGCAGGTCGGCGGGGCAGCGGGGAACATGGATGGATGTGGGCAGCGAGTCTATAGGTGTTTCGCCCGGCGCCCGGAAGTAGGGTGCTGAAACGAGCAGATGGTGCACTTCCCGGGGCAGCAGCCGCGCCAGCCGGCCCCGGCGCGGCCGGGGCGCGTGCGCGCCCGTAGCATGGCGGCGAAGCATGGGGCATGCCATTCACCGTGTAGAAAGCTGTGACTGTCCCCTCCTTACCCACTCTGGTTTGTGGCAGCTGGACTTTTCCCCTGGCCTTTCTTTCCTTGGCCCACTCTTCAGCAGGAGAGAGAGACGAGATCTCACTTACACCCCCGCCATCCCCTGGCACTCAGCCACGAGGCCTCGGTCCTGCGCGGGTTATCCGCAGCAGCTGGCAGGCGGCCGCTCCACACCCCGGTGGGCAAGAACCCATCCCCCTCCTGTGGGACACATCCTGCACCCTCGTCTGATTGGATACAAGGAAAGAAAGGCCCAAGACCTTTAAGTGGACCTCCGAGTTCGAGACTCATTTCTGTGGAGTCTGGTGACGGGAGGCGGAGTCCAGGCCTCCTGGTGTGCTCTCCATACCGGAGCCCCGGAGTGCCAGTTCATGGGTCCTGATGGACAGACAGGGAAGGAGCAGCGCGGGATGGCCTGCGCACCGTCGGGTGGCAATGCAGCGGCGGCTGCCCGTCTCCCGTAGTGTCCCAGGATCCTGCGGGCCGCTGGGCCCTCCGGATCCCCGAGCAGTGGTCCTGGTTTCCTTCTCTTACCCATGGCTGAAAGTGCAGGGGGGGCCTCGCGCCACCCCGGCCAAAACGTCCTCCACATTGGTGAAATACGGAAGTCCTCCATGGGTCTTACGCCCATCTTTCAGGGTGACTGGAGAGATATGGGGTTTTTCACCACGAAGCCTCGTGCGGGCCTGTCGCTGTCCTCTGCACGGCTTGCACGAAGTGAACCAGGCATTGGTCAGGGAGTGGGCGCAGACATTTGGTTTACTCTTGTCGTTGGTCAACAGTTTTGTGTTTTCCTCCAGAAGCAAAAACGGCTTTCTGGACATGCCACCGGTTTCTTCACTCCCTTCTGCTTGGAAATGGTATGCAAGGACGGGTGGGTATTCTGACGTCGGATTGGTCCTGGAAACAGTTGGCGCCAGAGGACAGCAGTAGATGTGCTATGGGTCGTGGGGCCTCTGCTCACCCAGTGCAGGTGGCGGGTCGTGGGCAAGCACCCACAGGCAGGCGCTCAGGAAGGGTGAGTGGAGCTTGCACACGTCTGAGCACAACAAGTCCTGGGACTCACCTTAAACCCAGGCACTGGGCCGCGCTCGACCGGCCACGCCCGGCATAGGCTGATAGAATGAGACACAGACAGTAGTGACGGCCGACAGCAGGGCGGCCACTTAGAGAGCCGCGCTCACCGTGGGGGTCAATTTCAACGCTTCCCGAGTGTATCACGACCGTTGCTTCTAGGAGAGTCACCAAGCTCCTATATGGCCGTATGCTGTTCTGGAGCAGCAATTTCGGGATCAGTGAGTGGAAAGCCGTACTCCCCACAAAGGCCAGCTGGGGGAGTAATGCGGAGCGTGGTGGCACGGACGGGAACCTGGTCGCATCCCCCGGGTTACGCCCAGCCCGGGGGAGCGTGGGCTGTGCCTGCAGGCTCGGGCCTCCTGCGGTGTCAGCCTGACTCGCCCTGCTTTGGCCCATCGGCCTTCTTTTTTTCCCTCCTCCTCCAAGTGCAGGAAGGAGGCCTGAAATCAATGCCTCTCCCTGGTTGGCATTTTTACCCTTGAAGACAACAGCTTGTGGTGAACTCCCCCAGCGGATCTGTGTCCTCCTGAGTCTCTGCACGACCGCACCACGCTCGGGTCCTGGGCCAGAAGACTCTTCTCCGCCTGTGGGCCGCGAGGCACTGGGATAGTGTGGAGCGGGGTGTCCTGGGGCGTACAGTAGGGGGCCTGATGGAGGCGGACTTCCTAGCTTTCTGGGCCTCTTCGACGCCCTGGTGTCGACCCTTCCTATTCTTCGTCACCAGCCCCAAACCTGGAGCCCGCGCTGGAACCCTGCCCGAATGCGGCTTCAGCCGTTCCCTCTGCCTGAGAAAAGGTGGGCCTGGCAGTCACAATCTTGTGTGGTTCAGCCTTCGGTGGTGGAACTACATTCTTGGGTGGTGAATACGGCTTTCCTTTGCCTTCACTCTGCGACGAGAGGGCCCCTGTTACTGTGATCGGCAGAGCCGATGTGGTCAACTGACTGCACTCGTTCTTCACAGAGTGTCAATGATCCCTCTGGACCATACATACAACAGCTCCTGATTTCTGGTGTCTGCGGCTCTGGCACACAGCCAACGAGGCCACTCCTGGGGCCTGTGGCGAAGATGGCATCCTTCTGGCTCACTTTCTTCTTGTTGGCTCTTTTCCCTGCGTCCTCTGCCACTGCTCTGTTCTGGGCAGGAGGCTCTCACCCTCTCCTGCCTCCCCTCTTTGATCCTTTTCTGTGAGGGTCTGCTGGAGTCCTGTGTGTCGTGCACCATTGATAGATTCTGGGCGTGCTTGCTGTCCTCCTCATTCTGAGGGACCTCTGATTGCCTGTGAGCAGTTTACAGGGGCTTCTCCTGGCCCCTTCACCCACAGCATTCCTTCAACGGGTGAATATTTGTGAGGGGCGGATCCTGGAAGTGACGTCAGGTGAGAAGGAAAAGTACATTAACAAAGTACATTAGCCCGGGGAATTACTAACGCCCGAAATGTATTGTCAAAGTTCTGAAGGCTGAGAAGTCCAAGATCAATTGCCTGAGGATTTAGTGCCTGGTGAGGACCCATTCCTTAGGGCAGTGCCTCCAGCTGTGTCCTCATGTGGCCGAAAGGGACAAGGGAGGTTGCTGGAGCCTGTTTGATGAGAGCACTAACCTCCTTCAGGAGGAGATTATTGAGAATGTCCGTCTGGTTTCAGGGCATTCCCAAAGGCCCCACCTGTTCTTTCTACCCCATTGGGAATTAGGCTTCAACATATAAATCTGGGGGACACTGACATTTAGGCCATAGCACGTCAAAGACAAAGTGAAGTTGAGTGTGGAAAACATCCCAGAATCTGGATGTGGCCCAGACAGAAGGAAACTCAAAGTGATGGGGTGACCGATGGTCCCTGGTGTGTGTAGAACTCAGCGATGAGGATGGCCCTGGGCCCGGTGGCAGTGGCTGTTGGAGGATGATAGGGAACGTGTTGGCGGGGGGAGGGTGGAGCCCACTATGAGTGGCAACTCCCTGGGGGTGCAGGAAGCAAAGCTAGAGGCGACTCCCCTCTCCCCTCCCTGCACACAGTGTCACGTCTGTGGTGGCCCTGTCATCCGCCTCAGTGCACAGGTGTTGCTGTAACAACTCCTGAAATTACCTTCAAAAGGAGGGTTGTGCAGGTGCCTGCAGGAGACAGGAGGCCACAGTGCATCCTGAGTGTCCCGGGGACAGGCGAGCCTGGCAGGGGTCCACGGCCTCACAGTCCCAACGACTGCCTCAGAAACGGGCAGAGAGCATGCTTGGTTCCAGCTTGCAGGGCCCACATCTCAGAGCTGTGGACAGTCATCAAGAGTCCATGAGCATGAAGAGGGGACAAAAATGACCCAGGAACCTCAGGCCGCTGTGCTGCCATCCAGCCACGTGCAGCAGCAGCCCTTCGGGCCTGAAGATCCTTCTGCCCTTCTCTGGGCCTTGCTGATTTCCTCCTCCAGCCCCGCAGTGTGTGTGCTCACACACACACACACACATGCACGCATGCACACACAGAGGGGACCTCTGCTCCCCTGTGCTCTTCAAAATTCACTGGGTTCCTCTTTCCTCCTCAGAGACATAGTCCTGGGCCCCATCTCAGCCTACAGAGGCCTGAACCTTTCCCAGGATCGTTTTCTAATTCTCATGTCTTGCGCTAAAACAAAACTAAAACTAAAACGCTTTCTGAAAGGAATAATGCACCAGCATCTAGTCCGGGTATCTAAGCATGTGGTGTGTATGTTGTCTCAAAGTGAATACCTGTGAAACCACCACCTGTGCCGAAACCCAGTGTTTCCCAAGACCTAGAGGCTCTCTCCAGTCGCTAATTGTGATCACCTCTCCCGATCACTGCTGAGCCCTGAAGGTCACCCTCTCCTGACCTATTACACCGCTGACTGCTTACACAGGGCACAATTCTATACCCTTGCTGTTTGTTGTTCCATCTAATCATCCCCATAACCCTATGAGATCATCGTTCCCATATGACAGAGGAGAAAACTTGGGGACACAGGGGCTGTGTCCTGGCCAAGGCATTGCTGGCAGCAAAAGGCAGAGCGGGCATCCAGCCAGGAGCCCCAGCACAGTCCTGTTCTTCCCCCACTACACTGGGCTGTGAAATAGATCATGGCAGTTTGGAAAATGGGCTAACTGCATGCTGTGGGCGGTGGTGACGGATGCCCACTGCTTTTCATGGGAAGGTGTGGTGTCTCCATGTCCCCCTCAGGTCTAGCCTCTCTCTGTGGCTCAGAACCTTGGGAAAGTGGGAGGCTCAGAGCAGGAAAGGGACTTACTTGCCCAAGGGCCACAGCTGCTACATGGCAGCTAAGGGATCATTATTCTCCTGTCTCTTTCATAGAGGACAGGAGGAAAGTGAGGCCAGGTGGGATACATGAGTTTAGCCTCTTTTCTGCAGAAGGCCCAGGTCAGCTTTGCACACAGTTGGTGCTGACCTCAAATTCAGCCCTAGAGGGGCCTGTCTCTGCTCTGACTATTGAGGTGCAGGCTTCTTCCCCTTTGTTCTGTCCGTTTCCAAAAATGTGAACACACACCTCCTACATGTTTGTAATAGTCTCCTTCACTTGAAGTGTGGAGCATTAGATAAACTTCACCATCTGTAAAATCCTGTGGCTGCGGATGTACGTGATGCAGGCTATGCCATTTGAAAA